TTCTGAGTTACCTCTCTAATGTCTCCTTCCCTCTCTGTCTGCCTTCCTCCCTCCTGTCTTGGGCAGCACTTGGTCCTGATTCCTGCTCTGTTGGTATAGAGGAGTAAGCTGGTACGTCTTCTCGTTCTTCTTACGCATCCCTGTTGTGTGGGGCAGCAGGGCCCTCCTGGGAATGCTGGCAGAGAGCAGGGATGGGGCTGGTCCTGGCCACCGGGGCAGGGAAGGAGGGGCAGCAAACCAGCCGGGCTGTCCTGCCGGCTCTGTCCTTGCTCCCTTCCTATTCCTGGCACAGAATTCCTGCTGCCCCTGAGTGCCAGGACACCAGGCCGGGCAGCAGAAACCCCTCCCCACTGGCTCCTGCTGAGCGTGGGCTCTGCTGCCTTCGGGGCACCACCAACATCCAGGTTCCTGCTGGCTTCTCCCAGGCTGTGGCAGACAGTGTCCCCGCTCAGTGTCCTGTGTCCCACCCGTGACACTCAGCCTGCACTGAGGGATGAGTGGTTGGCTGCAGCCCCATCTCCTGTGGGAGGGATGGCTGAGCACCGGCCCGGGCTGCCATTACTGAGGCTGAACTCCCTCTCCTCACGCAGGCTCGTCCGACTTCACCAAGACGCTCCCCGTCCGCGGCACCGGCAGCCCCACGCAGCCCCTTCTCTTCGAGCAGACCCGTCTGCACCTGGAGGACGAGCAGAGCCTTCCGTGAGCGGGGCCGGTCCCGCCGGTGCCGCCGGAGCCCGCGGGGCTCTCCGCGGCCGCAGCGCGGGTGTCGCACCGACGCGGTTTGGGCACAGCCCGTGCATGTTTGCTGGCGGTGGGTAGGGGCTGGTGTCGTGTTTTTCCGTGGGAGATGTCTGAGGGGCCGGGGCGGGGGTTCGCGGTTCGAGTCGGCAGATGAAGGACATTACCGATGTATATTTTGTACTTACCGAGCACAGCCCTTTGCTGTCACTGCCCCTGTACATAACTGTGGCCCTCCCTGCCTTGCCGGGCCGCGGGGCTCCGCGGGAGCGGGGCAGTGCGGGGGTCAGCCCCGGCCCACCCCGCGGCCGTCACGGGGGGACGTGGGGGTCAGCCCCGTCCCAGCCCGTGCGGGGTGACCCCCGCGGCCCCGGTCCCGCAGAGCCCGGCGCTGCCCACGCCGTGTGCCTTGTTCTGCTTCTGCGGGGGGTCCCGGGGCACATCCCCCCACCTCCCGGTCTATGTTTGTAGTAATAAACCCGTGGAGCAGCCACGCGAGTCCGTGTGCGGGGGGGAGCGGGGGGCTGAGGGGGCTGGGGGCGGGGCCAGGCGGAGGGGCGGAGTCAGGTGGAGGGGCGTGGCCAATGGGCAGTGGCGGGGATTGGTGCGGGGGGCGTGGCCAAGGCACGGGGGGGTCTCGCTCGTTCCCGCCCCCGCCTCCTTCCCGGCATGCCCCTCGGCGCTTGGCTGTGATTGGCCGCGCGCGCTGCCCTAATAAGGCGCGCGGCGCGCGCAGCCCGCCCGCCCCTCATTGACCGCCCGCCGCCCGCCCGCCTCTGGCGCGCGCCGATTGGCGGGCGCCGCCGAGAGCCCATTGGCCCCGCGGCGCGCGGCGCGCTCCCATTGGCCGAGGCGAGCGGCGGTCCCGCCCCCGCGGCGTCGTGGGCGCGGCGCGTGCGCGGAGCGGACGGCGGTGGCGCGAGGCGATGGCGGCGGTGGGGACGATGGCGGCCATGGGCCCGCTGCCCGCCATGGGCGCGCTGCCGCCTCTGCCCACGCTCGGCGTGCCCGGCGTGCCCGAGCTGAAGCCGCTCACGCGGTACGAGGCGATGCGGCTCGGCCCGGGCTGGAGCCACTCGTGCCACGCCATGCTGTACGCGCCCAACCCGGGCATGCTGTTCGGCCGCATCCCGCTGCGCTACGCCGTGCTGGTGAGGGGGGGCGAGGCCGCGCCGGGCCGGGGCCGGGACCGGGAGCAGGGCGGCGGCGGGCGGGCCCTGGGCTGGGTCGGGGCGGACGGGGCTGGGTCGGGCCGCGGGCTCCGGGGGCGGCGGGCTGAGGGGCGGTGGCTCCGCGCTAGTTCCCGTTCAGGGCGGTAGTATCAGGCTGGGCCCGAGCCCGAGGGGGAGCCCCCGGGCCCGCGGGTCTGTGCGGCCGGGGCGCAGAGCCCCGACGGCCGCGCCGCTGTCGGTGGATGGTCCTGGATGCGCCGGAGCCGGTAGTGCCGCGACGGAGCGGCCGCGACGCCTCCCGCGCCCCTCCGGCTCCTCCGGAGGCCTCCGTGCCGCCCCTCGCCCCCCGCCGGGGGCCGCGCCGTGCCCCATTAACACCCTGCGCCTCTATTGCAGATGCAGATGCGATTTGACGGACTGCTGGGCTTTCCCGGGGGGTTCGTGGATCGCCGTTACTGGTCCCTGGAGGACGGTCTGAATCGGGTGCTGGGCTTGGGTTTAGGCTGTGTGCGCCTGACGGAAGCGGACTATCTGTGCTCGCACCTGACAGAGGGGCCACATCGCGTGGTCGCACACTTCTACGCCAGGCAGCTCACCCTGGAGGAGCTGCACACCATCGAGATCAGCGCGGTGCATTCCCGAGACCACGGGATGGAGGTGGGACACCCGGGAGGGGTGTGCGAGCTCTCAGTTAGCCCAGGGAAGGCGCCGCTTCCCTCCTGGGTCTGCCGGGCTGCCCTGGCCAGCCCGGCCGGGGAATGCACCGCAGGTAGAGCTGCCGGCGGCAGGTGCCCGCACCGCCCGTGGCATCGGCGTTAGGGACTGTGGCCGGGGTCGCGCCGCAGCCTGCAGACCTTAGCGAGCTTGAGCTCCAGCTTTTCCCGGTGTCCCACGCAGGGATGAGCCCCGTGTTACCGCTCGGCCTCAGGATGCGGGCGAGGGCCGTTTGCAGCTGGGGGGGATCTCCCCCTGCCCTGGGCCGAGTGCCCCGGACTGGATCGTGACCTCGGTGTGGTGATGTTGCTGTGACCCGAGTTCCTCCCGTGCGGGGGGCACCTTCCTGCCCCCGGGCAGCCAAGCCCGGCTGATGGCCGGAGCGGAGCGTGAGAGCCCGGGGGCTCCCCGCGTGCCCACGGGGCGCTCGGTGGGTGCCAGCAGCCCTCCGAGCACCGGCAGCGTGCGGGCGCTGGGTTGTGGCCTGCTCGAGGGGACTCGTGGGTCAGCCGTGGTGTCCCCATGCAGGGCAGGGCTGGCGGGGAAAGCGGGACTCCCCATAGTGGCCTGGGGCAGCGGGATCCCTCCAATGGGGCAGAAGGGGGAGCAGAGCCAGGGCCGGGCTGAGGGGCTGGGCAGGGAGAGCAGGGCCCTGGGGGCATTTGGGCAGGGGCACTGAAGGGGCTCAGTGGGGCTGAGGGCAGCAAGGGCAGGGGCTGGTGTGGGAGGGAGGGGCAGGACCTGGCACGGGGCAGGGAGAGCCTGGGCCGAGGGCTGGCGGGCACTGGGTGAGGGTGTGGGGCCGAGGGGGGTGGGGCGGGGGGGCTGGTGCTGCTGTGGCCCCTGCTGAGCTGTGCCCGTGCTGTTGCAGGTGATGGGCATGGTCCGTGTCCCCCTCTACACCCAGAAGGATCGCATGGGCGGGCTGCCCAACTTCCTGGCCAACTCCTTCGTAGGAACCGCCAAGTTCCAGCTCCTGTTTGCCCTGAAGATCCTGAACATGGTGCCGGAGGAGAAGCTGGCCGAGGCGGTGGCTGCCACGCAGAGGCCGAAGAAGGCGGCCATCGACCACGGCGGGGGGGCAGCAGGACACCACCACCACAAGGCGGGCAACGAGCTGGGTAGAGCGGGCAACGAGCTGGGAGAGAGGGCAGAGCACCCGGGCATGGTGCACGTGGGGGCCGAGCAGCACCTGGTGGGGCTGGAGGGGCAGGGCCTGGGGGAGGCCGAGGCGCTGGAGCAGCACGTGGGGCTGGGCGCTGATGCTATGGCAGAGCAGGCGGTGGCTGAAGGGATGGAGTGACGCCGCCGTGTTGGCGCTCAATTAAAGTGGGTGAGCTGAGAGACTTGTAACGTTCTGACCCGTGGCTGCTGCAATGGCTGCCCACGCGATCCCACTGCCCAGCCGGGAGGGCTTGGGTTTGTCTAAAGCAGGGAAAAGCGATTTTATTTTTATGGCCATTAAACTCTTAGCGAGCTTCCCAGATCAACCTGCACAGCCCCTGCAGGGAGTTCATGTGCTTACGTGAGGGTGCCAGAGCCTTAGAATAATGCTTTGATTTCAGGGACACACTGCTGCTGTCAGGTCCCCCTTTGATTTGTAAGGAACAAAACATCCAATTTTTTAAATGCCCCGTCTTGACTTGGACGTGGCTGTGTTGGTATGGACACAGCTGAGGCCTGGGGCTTCTGGTCAGGCACCTCTGCCCATGTTAGTGGCCGGGCTCCTGCTCGGGGTCTGGCACAACGGGGCAGCCGTGCCATGAATTCCCTCTGGGGCGTTGGGGATCTCATGTGGGTCCCTACCTGGAGATCTGTGGGAGCAGGAAAGTGGAATAAATGGCTTTGCTGAAAGTTTAACACTTGGGCTCCTTCTTGAGGCTGGTGCAGAGCTGGTGGTGACCCAGAGCCGGGGTGGTGCAGGGTGGGGGAGCAGAGGCCAGAGGTGAGGGGCTGGAGCTGAGGTGGCAGGAGAGCTGTGGGCTGGCTCAGGTGCCGCACTTGAGAGTTTGGGGTGCTCCAGAATGACTGGTGCTCCCCAGGGCTCCAGACAGGGGCTGGGAGCTGCTTGTCCCAGGTGCGGGAGCACCTCCCAAGCACTGGCTGTGCCTGAGGGACCTCAGTCCCGGCTGAAGGGACCACAGCCCGTGAGGAGCCCAGCACTGCAGCTGAGCCTTAGGAAGATCCACCCACCCATCCTGCAGCCCTTGTGGAGCTGCTCCCTGTTCCCTGTCCCCCCTCTCCCTGGTTTGGAGCAGCAGCAGCTCCCCCAGGATCCCCCCAACCCCACAGAAAAGGGTCTGTGGTCACCCCACCCCGCCATGGGGCAGGCACAAGCAGCTGGTCAGAGGCGGAGTCTCTGCAGGGACAGACAACTCCAAAAAGAGGTTTGGTTTAATTGAAGATATTTAGCGAGAGGTTCTTCAATAAATAATGGGCTAAGATGGGGACAGGGCTGACACCTCAGGACAGGGTGGTAGGAGGACAGACAGACCAGTCACAGCTCCCTTGGGATGTGCTCGAGTAGTGGAGTTGGGTTGTGTAAGGGACAGGAGAGAAACTGAGGACACAGACACATCAGCCCCAGGCAATCAGGAGAGAAGAGCTTCATTCTGGTCCAGAGAAAGCAAGTGCTGAGAAAAAACAGGCTTGGGCTGCTAAAGAAACTCTCAACCAACGGATGTGTTAATTAAAACACATTTTTGCTTATTTTTGCTTATTTTGGATAAGCAAAAATACCCCAAACTGGAAACAACTGAGTGGAAGGGTGTCAGGGGCCCTGAGGAGGCACTGGGGCTGGGGGAGGAGCTGCTGCCCAGTGCCACTGGGACTGAACTACAGGGGAGCCAGAGGTGACTGACATGCGATGGAAGAGGCCCCTGGCACCTTGGGGCTTTCCGTGAGTGCCCTGTTTAACTCCTCATAAACACCTCTTTACCTTGTCTTTGAGTCCCAGAAGGAGCAGCACCTCTCAGAACAGCCTGGCACCAGTCACAGCAGCTCATCTGCATCCTTTGTCAGTGAACTCCCACCCAGGGCCGGTCACTGGCAGGGCTTTCTGTGCCCACCCAGGCTGCGGGGTCATCCTGTGCTTGTTGGCTCTTCTAAGGCCCAGCCTGAGCCCCGTGTGACCCCCAGGGCCTGCCCAGCCCCTGCCACAGCTGGCAGTGCCAGCCCATCCAGGCCCTGCTCCGGCATGGATCCCTCTGCTCCGGTCCCAGTTAAAAAATGAAGCTGGAATAAGGAACATGGTGCTGAGCAGGGGAAGAGCCTTGGCCAGGGAAGGGGGATTTGCCATGGGAATATGGCAGGGCCCCTGGCCTGGCTGCAGCTCCAGGGCCTCCACACAGGCTGCACATGAGCTACTCAGTCCAGCCAGAGGCTCCTGGACAGGACAGGACAGCCCAGCACAGCCCAGAGGTGCACAGAGCACAGCCCACAGCACCACACTGAGCAGCTGTGGCACTCCCCTCAGCAAGGGAAAGCTGTGATCTGTGCACACATCCCATCCTCAGGATCCTGCAAAGTTCAGCCTGGTGCCAAGGAAGGGGAGAAGGGCTCTGGACCTGACTGTACACTGCCAGCTCCCCCCCTGCTACATTCCATCTTGGACAAAGGCAGAAAGATCTATACAGTATAATACATATATATTTCACTATGAAATAGCAATTTCATTCCCTGCCTTCTACTTCCTGAATGCATCCTGAATTATATGCTTCTTTTTACATCACTCCAGAGGGCTGCTGGGGCTGGGTAGTTTCTCATGCGAGGCAGTTGCTCTCCCTGAAGTTACCCACAGGACGCACCAGCAGCTGATGTGGCAGGACCTAAACATAATTCCCATTCCTCCCTTTCCCCTGCCCCAGCTGCCCCCTTCCCCAACAACAAGGACAGCCTCTGCCCTAGCAGCCAGGGCTCTCCCAGTCCATTTCAGTGGTTCCTCGCTGCAGATCCACGAACCTCCCTCAGCTGCTCTCAGCAGCTGTGGATGGAGCGGGAGCCGCAGCTGAACCCCTGGACATGCCGGGTATGGGGAGGAGCAAACCGGAGCGAGGGAGGTGGCGGGGACAGTGCAACATGCACACGGAGCGGTGCCCGGCCCGCCCAGCCCCGGGGGATCTACCAAAGGTCAGTCCCCGTGGAACAGGGAGCCCCATCCGGGGGCTGGGTCACCATCGCTGGAACAGTGCAGAGCCGGGTGTCAGGTGGAAGGAGAAACAATCCTGTGGAAAGAAGAGAGGGCAGATGTTTTAGGGAAACACTTAGGGAAGGTGTGCTGGGAGCCACTGGCCTGGAAACGTCAGACACTGGCAGCACTGGGGCCTCCAGTTACTGTGCTGGGACTCTGAGGGCTCAGGCACTGTGGATCTGCACTCTGCTCCAGCAGCTGGCAAAAGGAAGGGACAGCAGGTTCCACCTGCTGCTGGGGCTTGGGCTCCAGTAAACAAGGGCAGATTTTATTTCCCTTCAAATGAAACCTGCAGGAGTTCAGCTGCTGGCTGGAGCACACCATGCCCAGACACTTTCCACGGCAGCAGATGAGCTCACTCCAGGGCCTCTCCCAGAAGAGAGATCTGCCCAGTGGCCGTGGCAGGGAAGGGCAGGGAGCTGTCCCCATGTCCCCATGTCCCCAGCACCCACCTGCGCTCCCCCGTCCGTCACATGGTCCGGCTGTACTCGATGCTGCTCTTGGCAGAAATGCCAGACCAGGGCAGGAGGCTGCACAGGAGGCTCTGGGCTTGTCTGTAAATCCTCTGGGGAATGGAGCACGGGCTCAGGCTGGCTAGTGTGGAGCCAATGTGCTGTAGGTAGTCAGTGGCCACCAGTTAAGGACAGCGACGCTTACACTGTAACTTAGCAAAGAACAAAATCACTCCTGGACCTGCCCTGCCTGCAGGGACCCCAACACAGTGGAAGATGCTCAGCTCAGTCACATCTACTCCTTCCAATCACTGCCTCCACCTTCTATCAAAAGTAGGTCTGCTCTGCCCTGTAAAGAAGAGCAATTTGGGAATGGCAGCTCCAGCTGGTGTAGGAAATACTTCCTCTAAGCAGTTCCCTTTGCACTCCACAGAAGATCCTGTGAGGATAGCAATCCATCCCCCTGTCCAGGGAGCTTGGAACTGACCAGCTACACCTAGGAAGGATCAAGTTTCTTCTCCATGATCTGTTGACCTGAAACAAACCCCCTAAGTCAGTGTGGGAGCAGCCTGCTGAGATCCAGGCCAGCCCAGGCTCACAGGAGATCCCAGGTCACAGGAAGCAAAACCAAGTGTTCCTCTGCCCTGTTCATGCCTCAATCTTGCACCCTACAAGCCAAAGCACGCCCAGAACTTTGGCCTAACACCAGCACTCGCTCTCACTGGCATCCACCTTGCTCCAACCATCCTACATCAAGTAACTCTAACGTCTCCTTCCTTCCAGCTTCAGATTAAACCCACATCTGAGCAGGTTTCAGTTCCCACATCTACCCACTCTGCTGCTGTTAACATAAACAGGGCTTGGCAGCCTGCAGGGAAAGGATATAAGATTGTCCAGGGTGGGTGCCCGCCGTTGATGTACAGGACGTAGGTGAAGCCATCTTTGAGGACCCCTCGGATGGAGTAGTAATAGGGGAGATAGTGGTGCTGTTTAAAGTCTCTGTTTTCATAGAAGTTTATTGCTGTGTTGTTGGTGGTGAGCACGTGCAGGTAGATGGCTTTGCAGTGGTCCTGGGCAGTGGTGGAGATGTGATCTTTCAGACTCTCAAGCAAGAGGGAACCTGTTGAAGGGAAGGCAGCAGGATCACAGTGTGAGGGTGTGTGGGGCCCAGCTGAGCCCTCCTGCACCAGGGATTGCTGCACACACCTGGAGACCCCAAATCCCACCCAGTTCTCACAGGACCTTCTACATGGTTCCTATACGTGGTCTCACCTATGAGCACAGCTTCAAACCCTGGAGATTTTGAAGACACAAACCTCTGACTCAATAACAAGGATGAGGCAGAACTTTGACAATACTGTCCACCCCAGCAGAGCCACTCCTGGCTTTGGGGAAGATCAGTTTCATTTTCAATGGTATCAGTTTCACCCCATACATGTATTTATTTTAAAATCATTTGATACAGCAGAGTGTCAAAACAGGACTTCACAAGGAGGTTATTGTGTCTGCTGAACTTGAATCAAAATCTAAGAACTGTTGGGATTTTAAGATACCTTCTAAGGAGGAGTGGAGACAGCCTCATCCAACCTGGATATGCTGCAGCCAGCAGGAAAAGCCAGAGAAGGACACAGAGGATACTCCAGCCCAAAGGGACAAGACTTGGGGTTCATCCACACCACCTCAACAGGGTGTGAAGGACCCAGCAGAACCTGCAGGGGAACTTCTTCCAGCAGGTGTGGTAACACCAGGCTGAAGAATCAGCCTGACTAACACACAGGCTGCTGCTGTTTCACAATCCCCAGGGCCTGGAGGACTCTCTGGAGGACCCACAGGATTTCAGAGCAGAAGTCAACAGCACTGACTTCACGTTCTCTTGATACTTAGTGAGAATCTGTATCAGCCAAGACCAAAAAACCACTGAGACAACAACAGCAGAGCAGTTCAATTTTCTTATGAGATATTCCAGACTTGTACCTCACAGAAATCCATCTGTCCTATGGTTTAAGAACAGCAGAGAACTAGAAAACAAACCCTTTAACAAAAATCAGAGAAAAATCAGAGCTTTAGTGCTCAGAAGCATGGCTGGAGTGAAGAGCCTCCTGCAGGAAAGGCTACAGCTTCAAATACCACTAGAAAAACTCAAGAGAAAGGTCTCAGGAAAAGCAGCAGCAGCTTTTTTTAGGTTGTGTTGCTACAGGTGCAAGCTCTAAGTTTTTGAGAGAGGACAGCAACACGCTGTGCAGATGGAATAGATACAGGAAATACTGACTCTGAAAGGAGAAAATTCCAGCAAGGTAAGACTGGGGAAAAAATAGGATTTGGAAATTAGGAGGAGATTGAAAACCACCATAATTTTACAGAAAGACCTCTTTACCAGCCTCTGTGATCATTCTGTGCTACATTATTTTCCAGTTCCCTTTTGTGGTTTTCTCACAGTTTGTTCTATCTGTTGAAGATGAAAGATTAAAAGCAGTTCTGTTTTCTGCCTCAGGGATCAGTCTGCTGATACCCAGAAAGAAAATAATTTCAAACTCTCCTTCTGGGTGAAGTTCTTACACTTTCAGACAGCCTCAGCAGCACCAGTGTGAGTTTTTGGTGTGCTCAGCTGGCCTCTGGGAACAAGACTGACAAAGGCCTGTGCTCTTTGGAAATATTTGCACATTGTGTTGTGCCCACACCAGTAAAAACCTCCCAGTGCACCTGCACTGTGCCACCTGCTGGTACCAGTCACAGGTAACCCTTCCCCATTCCCACAGGGATACTGCAGCTCCTTCAGTCATACCTGGCAAATACAGCAACGGCTGGCACTGAGCAGCAGCTTACCTATTCCATGTTTCCTGAACTCCTTCACCACTCCAAGACTTAGGATGTAAGCAACTTGAGTGTCCACAGGAAAATTGGAAGCTAGGATATCTCCATCCTGCATAGAGATAGGACAGGTTTTTTAATAGGGTACCTGGGGAGGCACAGGAGAAAGCATGAATCCTGTACTGGAACACCTAAAAACAAGGCTGGAGCAGGAAACTTCTCTTAACTGAACAGTCTTAGCTGAAGCTTTTGGGATGGAAGTTAACATATCCAAGCATGGAGTTATTCCCATTTTCACATGATCCTCCCAGAGGCAAACACAAACCATGCTATTTCCTACCTATGTACATTATTTGTGGGTTTAGGGACAGAACAGGCTTGCTTTCTTTACCAGAAGGATGCAACGTGCCAGTTCTGGAGCCACACAGCAGTGTTTAGATCAACCCAGCAAGTCCTCGTGGCCTACAAGCTGCACCTGAGCTGTGTCAGCTGGAGATCTCTGCACTGCTGGGGAGGACAAGGAGCACATTCCACAGGCCCAACTGCCCAGAGCAGTGCCTGAATAAGCCCTTGGCTGTCAGCTTGGCTGGAAGAAGGGCCTTGTGTAGAAGTTGCTGAAGATGCAGCTTCTGACTTTGATGAGCTTTGAGATGAAGCCAGAGAGCTGAGGTGAAGAGACCCACATGCTACTCTGCTGGGATTATTGTTTAACCCCATCACTGAGGGCCTTCCAGGAGTCAGGCACTTCCTGCACTGCCCCTGCTTTTTTTTGTGCTCTTCTCCCATGCTGTCTTCACTGACCATCTCTTCTATCCCTCCCTGCTGCACTGGACTGTCTGTCCTGGCCTCCAAGCTCTGTTATCTCTGAAGTCCCAGCTCTCTGCAGACAGGTTAGCTCCCCCCAGGGCTCAGGACAGGGACTGTGTAAAGGGAGGAGTTTCTGCAGGAAGCCACCAGAGTGACTCACCCAGTACAGCTAAGGAAGCTCTAATGAAAAAAAGAGTTTTGTGCTCCCAAGCTACACCAGCCATGGGCAGGGATTAGCCAGCAGGATCTGATCCCTCAGCTCTCCATGGGGCCATGCTCCAGCAGGAAGAGCCTCTGTGGCACCACACAGCCCCGCAGCCTCCCTGCTCCAGCAGCTGGAAATCAGCATGTGCCTCATTCCTTAGGTTAACTCAGAACAAGTCTCTGAATAGGGGAGGGAAAAACCCCACCCCAAACAGGTCCCATCCCCATTCCCCACAGCAGGGGGTTGGATTGTGTCCTGCTGAAGCCCAGGGTAGTCACACACCTCTTTGTGCACCTTGGTCCTGCTCTTGATCTCTGCCACAATCATCCCCACGATGGAGCCTCTGTACGTGGCTGCGAGGGAAAAGAACTTCTTGTTGGAAGTGATATCTCGGTACCATGAGTCAGGGTACCTGGGGAGGAACCAGAAACAGGAATGTCAGGGCATGCAAAGCCCATGGGAACAGGCATTAGATGCTCCTCAATTGGAAACACCTGTTGTATCCCATTTAGTGACATGGATTCTTTCATCATGTAATGGCCTCCTGCCTTGCTAAGAGAATCACATTTTCATCTTACAGTCTCTGCCCAGAGCTTTCACATCCATCTTTAGCAAGTTATTTTTAAATGTAAGATCCATCTGCCCTCATCTAAGAGTGTAAGGATCTCATTATTTGATACACATGTAAAAGAAATGCTGCATATTGATAGAAAAAAAAATCACACCACCACCCTTCAGTTCTCCTCCTCCTTCTGCAGCTACTAAAGGGAAACTACTGTATGTTCATTTATTTCCAAGTGAGAGTTCAGCACATCTTGCCTTTATAAAAAATCTACAAACTCAAAATAGTATGAATGCTTTTGCTGATTTGTTACACTTTATTCAATCTTAATTATAACCTGCTAGAATCCTCTATAAACCTTCTCCATGAAGCTAAAGTTAAAAATCCATGAAGTCTACAGCTGTGGTTTCCCTGGATGCTTTAGGCCAGAAATCTGTCAGTGTCCTCCAGAGAAGCTCCTGTTCTTGTGCAGTCATGGGCATTGACCAAATGTGGGTCTGGGAGCTGGCCTGGGCCAGGCTGACATCAGCTTTATGGAGGAGCAGTGATCCAAGGGAAGCAGTGCTCAGTTCCTGGGGACATCAGAGCAGCCCCTCGGGAACAGCTCCCTGTCAGTTCAGTTTGGCTCTGAGGGTGCTGCCCCAGCCCCAGGACACAACTTCCTTTCACAAGCACAGGGATGCTGTCCTTTTTCCTGGAGGTGTTGCCCTTCCCCACCTCATTCAGTCTTTCTCAAGAAGCTGATCCACCCCTTTAATGGCAAAGCCCATTTTCCTGCCGAAATCTGCATGCAGGAAGTTTCTGATGACTACAGTCACTGCAGGACAGGCAGCAAAACACCACCACAGTGCACAGAAGATTCCCAACCTGCTGCTGCCCTGGCAACAGCCCTGAGGCTACAGAGAGCTGGAGCAGTACAGGTGTCCCCCATTTGTCCCAGCTGCCCCCCAAAGCAGGCACATACTCGATTGGGAACCAGTCTCCACAGAGCTGTTTCACGGTGTCTATGTCATCGTGGCAGAGCAGGCGCAGGTTCACATCCGTCAGTGCACTCGGGGGCACCTCCTCTGTCATTCACGCCTGCAGGGGAAGGAAGCACCAGAGCAGAGATGGAACACAGGGGCTGATCCAACAGCACCAGGAGGGGCCTCTGATGGATAAAGGAACGTAATTCAGGGGAGATGAAGCAAAACACGGCAACATTGACCCGAGAAGGAACTCACAGCTGTGCTGGCCACGGGCAAGCCCAGCTTGCAGCTGAGCCTGACCATCCCTGCAGCCCCATATCCATCCCCATATCCATCCCCATATCCAGCCCCATATCCAGCCCCATCCCGATCCCTGGGAGCACAGTCTGGTGTCTCTGTGTGTGAGGAGCACATGGCCACCAGCCCTTCCAAAAAGAGTATTAAATGAGCCAACAGCGTGCCAAGTGTACCTTATGTTGCATGGAGCTTTTCAAATGTCTGTGCAGCACCAACATTTTGTTAAAACAAAACTGAACAAACAGCTTAAAAAGGAAGCACTGCTAGAGGAACGTTTAGAAAGTCCTCTTGCACAACCCTGCCATCTCCAGTGAGTACATATGCAGAGGATTCCAACCCTATAAAATGTTCATTTTGTTTAACTTGTGCTGGTGAAATGAGATCTAGTTTCACTTCCCCTCATCCTGTGTGCCACAGCTCCTCCCAGCCCAGCTCAGAGCGCTCAGATACAGAAATCCCAGGACACCTTTTCTGCACAGCCCTGCCACGAGCTGCTGAGCACCAACAGAACACTTGCTGCAGTGTCTTCGGCCTTTTTTAACAACACCAGAGGGAAAGAAAAAAGTGATAGCTAAAGTGGTTGTACAAGCATTTGTAGCACTGATGGATGCCTGGAGAACCCATTTTAGGCATGACAAAGCCTCACATGAGACAGACAAGGTGAGTGGGGACAGGAGGAGTGTTTCCTTCATCTCTCTCACTCTGACCCTCCCAGGTAAAAGAACCAGACCAGGATGCAAATTTTAAAAACCAAAGCCACCGCCCTCAACAAAAATAAATTACTTAAGAGTTTCTACTTTCTTTTCCTAATTTTAAGAGTCTCGAGGCTTGGTTTCAAAGTGCCAAGTTTTAAGGGAAAAGTTGCTCAGAGCAATGTTTGTCTATGCCTTACTGGAAAAGGGATGCTCAGCTCTCCAGTGTTCTCGATTTACAGCTCAGAGCTCAAGGAAGAACCAATTTAAACACACTCCCCATTGGACTGCATAAGCCATTTGAGCAGCTTCAACACAAATATTGTAACTGGCAAAGTTACAATCGCCAGTTTGGGCAATTTTGGGTTGCCAAATTCACAATTTAGCAATTAATTATAAATTATTAAGTTACTAAACTTACTTGGACAAGCTCTCCAGCACATGGTGGGATTCTCTGGTTGTCCTGTGCAGGGCCAGGAGCTGGACTCAGTGGTCCTGATGGGTCCCCTCCCTTCAGCATATTCTATGATTCTACTCTGGCAGTTACAGTCACTCTGTACAGAAATGGATCACTTGTTCCTCTCCAAAGAATTCCTTAAAAAGCACCACAGCTATTTTCCAGCCTATTCTAGGACTGTGGCTGCCTGTTTACTGAGCAGTCCAGGTCCAGGTGCCAGTTTCAAAACAACATAAGCCCCCACAAAACCTGCACTCCTTGCTGCCTTTAAAATTTCTTTTACACTCCCAGAATTGGCTCAAGCCCTCAGAGGCCAGATTTGGAATCTGTGTCCTGTCACAGTGGTGCACACACTCCCCACCCCCAGCCTCTGGTGACCTTTTAAGAAGCCTCAGCTTCACCCCATGGGACCTTGAAGAAAGAAGGACAAACATTTGCTGGCTGAGGCTCATCTGATCCACACCACTGGTTCTGGATGTTGTGGACCCCATTTTCACCCCCCACACCCCTGCTGAACTCTTTGCTGAGCCATTTCAGAGCTGTGACACACCACAGGATCGTTTTTCTTGCAAAGTTTCAGTGCTCCTGTAAGGGAACACCCCTTCTCAGCATTAATAAATCAGAGAGAAATAAAACCACCATGCCAGGGCCATGGTTTTGCTAATGAGTAGAAAAGACAGGGAGGCACAGGACACATTCCTATGAGGATTAGTCCATGTGTATTTAACACCATGTGCTCAAAGAGCTGGGCAAGCATTATGCATTATCCTGGAGCTGAAGCCAGGCTCCATCAAGTAATCCATGACTGTTTTGTTGAACAGGATAATCCCCTCCCCTCAAATTCAGACACCCATGGCTGGTTGTGTTTACAGGGATTCAATCCAGATGCTCCAGCACATTTAAAGGACATTTGGGACACCCATCTGGCACCGTGTCCTGCCACTGGGGTTCAGGAGAGCAGAGCTCTGCCCCTTCCTCCTGGCCAGGTGTCGCTGCTGCTGGAGGAGCTGTGGAAAGTGGCTGCTATGAGCAAGAGAGAAGAAATTCCAGAAAAATCAATTCCCTTCATAGCCAGGTGACAGCCTCTGGGTCTTCTGGGATACCTGGAAAAACCCCCTGGAGCAGGTCCTGGCCCTGAGCACAGCCTGTGGCAATGCTGTCCTTAGCACACCCCAAGTCCTGAACTCAAGTCTCAGCCAACACAGTGACCTAAGTATCACCTTTGAGTCAACTTAAGAGGACAAAATACATGTTTGAAAGCACAAAATAAAACAAAAAACAGTATCAGTGTAAAACAAAACCCCGTAAGTTAAAAGGCAACAACACCGACAACACAAATTGTGACCTTTGAGACCAAATGGTGGCTGCTGTGAAGCCAAATGCAGGCTCCAGGGGCATGTGGTAAATTCAAGGGTGTCCACAGCCACTTTGGAAAACCAAAGTGAAGTTATTTATTTCAATATCTTTTTCTCAGGTGTCAGCCTTTGGTTCACATGATGGCCAACATCACCCACTGTCCCCCCTTCCTGGGGGCACAGTGACCTCCCCCTTCTGTCCAAACAGGAAGCACTTGTTCAGGAGAATTAGAAAATGAGCCAACATTTCATTTTTTTTTTAACATTTCATGCTTACAAAGGGATAGTGCAGATAAACATTTGGAAAAGCTCTGAGGACACCCTCTTACAAAATACTACAGTCAGGAGCAAGTAGAAGTAGAAAATGACCATTTAATTCCTTTTCTTACCTAAGACTTGCAGATATTAATGCATAACAAATTCATTTCAAAAATACAGGAAAGCATGAAAGTTTTATGCATTTTTACTAGTTTTCTGCCTGGGTCTATTGAAACAAATCTAGCAAAATGTTTTGGCCTCAAGTGAATTGAGTAGCTCTAAGAAACCTGTGAAATTCTTATAACAAATATTTAGCAGTAATGGAAGTTGGATGAAAATAAATAGTAAATCCATTACTAAATAAGCCAACTTGACATATAATTTTAAATTAAAGTGCATTGTGAGGCCTGAACTTGCTATTTAAAAAATGATGTCATAAATCTTTGGCATCATTCAGCTCTGGCTATAATGAGCTAAAGAACAGCATTTCACAGTTCTGCCTAAAAGGCAGCAGAGCCTCTGGCTCCAGCAGATCCTACTGAGAAGGAGCAGCTCTTGTTTAGAGCCAGGTACAGGAACAGTTTATTTACATGGACCAGGTGCTTCACAGCTAAGACACCTCAGCTCCAGCTTTTCTCAAGAGCAGGATGTTTTCATTCCCTCTTAGAGCACCTGTATTAAAAAAAAAAAACAAACATAATAAAATCTTTGTGGCATCACATTTCTAGAGAGAAAGGCAGCCACACAGAACCAGTACTCTGAATCCAGCAGGTTGTTCAAATGAAAGATAAAGCCTGATGTTTTGGCAGACAGCTGCTTAAATGTGTTTGACAATCCCTTCAGCACTTCCATACCTACAAAAACCTGGCCAAGTGGTTCTACAAGTTGAGATTTCACTTGTTTAGCACTGTTAGACATGTTTTAACAATGTTTCTGCCTTGTGCATCCTGCAAAAATGAGCTGGATTTCAGCAGTGAACAAGATGTTAGTTTAATTATTTTTTATTTTGACTTCGGCTTCCAAGCAGATAAACTCATGAAATTCCCAAATAAAAAATTTATCATCTAGCAACAAATATCGCTGAATTTCTTAGCAGAATAAAAGGCAGGTAATCTTAGTTTGACTAAAGTCAAACAAATAGCAACTAGGATTGTTTACAACTCTAATTCCCAGTTAGGGATGTATTGACTTTAAATTTGGTGTTCATACAAAAACCAAAGTGAAGGAATCTTCTTCACTTACAGAAACAAAGCTAGATCAAAGTTCATCGATACCTTTTACTTTACTTAAAAGCTAATTGAGATCAATTCATCCTACAGAAAGCAGCAGAGCTTCAGGGAAGAATAAAGAGAAGCCCTGGCAGGCTGTGGGAGTTTATAAAGAGGCGCCATAATTCAGGCAGCGTTGTCCCTACAGGCACACCCAGGCAGCCCCATGTCCCAGCACCTCCAACATCCAACACTGCAGATCCTCCAAGGCTCAGGATGAAGATTTCCACCTTCAGGATTCAAAGCATTCACTTTGTGCACACTCCTGGTGGATTATTAAGGATTATCTGCTGTCCTTCCACAGAAGGAAAAGATTAAGGTCCTGCAGATGACTTGGAAGGACACACCAGGAAGGGGCTGTCCCAGAGGAAGGCAGTGACACCAAACAATGCACGGGGAGCTCCGGGGCTGGCCTGTCCTGTCAGCTCCTGCCCAGCACTGCAGGACATGTCACAATGCCTCTGTTTCACTTTACAGACACTCCCTGGGAGATCTGCACACAGGGAGAAATGGATTTCCTTGTGCCTGGTTCCCTCACACCACAGGTCTGCTGCACTGTCACCACCAAATCCTTGTTTGCAACTCCAGTCACCATCTGGATGGTCTTCAGATCCCACTAACACAAGATTTCCAGGAAAGAAAAATTAATAACATTTGGCATCCTCACTCGCTTGTACGTAAATAGGATCAAACAAAGCCCAGAGAGAATCTTAAAGCTACCAAAGTGCAGGATTTTAGCTGTGACTGAGCACCACAGTACCCAAAACAGCCACAAAGTCTGCTGT